AACACGTTTTGAAAAATAACTTTTAGTTTTTGAGAAAACAATATTTGAAGTTTTGATAAAATTTTCGATGTTGCAATTTTCATCTTCAATTTTCAAAATTCGCTATAAAATTCATTTGTTGAAGGATCCTTGTGGAAATATCACCAATTATTAATTAAAGTATCCTCTTTTTAATGCAACAAGCCGTTTTGAAAAATTGCTTTTAGTTTTTAAAACAATACTTGAAGTTTTATCTATATTTAGTCTTATATATCTTTTTTTAGCATTACATACTCTTGGTCTTCTACAAGCTGTATCTAGTCCTTTAATTGCGGCGTCAAGTCTTCAAATAGCAGTATCTACTCACCTGAAAACAGTACAGTTTTCTACAGGAGATATTAGAAATCAGTTTTGTCTCAATAAATGATGTTGTGAAGAAACTGTACAAAGTAAAATTTAAAAAAGCTGACCAGATATCATTATTATTCGTGCTAAAAGTTTGTCGAATTCCGTTATCAGTTTTTCAAAGTTATGTCTCTCTAATTTTTTTAGAGCGATTTAAGAGAATTATAAATTTAAAAGACATAGAAATAAGCCATGTGGGGAGAGGAAAATTCTGTTTCGATCTTGTGGCTGGTGTGTATTCCACACAGGACGTCACGCCTTTATTGTACCTACAAAAATAATAAAGGTGCGACGTCCAGTCTGGAACACACACCAGCACTATCTTTTCCAAATGTAAGTAAAATTGCTATTAGGTATTAAATTTTAAATTATAGAGCATTTTTTAATTTAATATTCTATTTGATGATGGTCAACGTTTCATTAATTTGTCGATATATCATTGACCTATACATCACACATTATTCAAGAATTATCCGGGACTGTACCCAATTTATTTTGCAATTTTTAATTTCTTATTTTTTTGTGGATTTGCTATATTTTATAAAAGTTATTTTCGGAAATCATTCAGTATTCTATCAATATAAAACTTTTTACGTGTTTATAAACAAATTTAAACATGTAAGTCGAAATATTTATTTCTAACCATCCCGAAATTGTTTCCAAATCTTTAATCTTTTTCTAGACCCTATAAACATAAATTTCATGGCCGCGATTATACAAATAGCAATTAACACGTTCTAACTTTGTTAATAAAGTTAAATTTTAGCATCAAATTAATGTTTAACATGCGTAAATAATTTCTGACACAAAAATTTACTACGTTTCAATGAATTCACGGCGGCGCCAAAGTCATAATAATAACAGTAATCGATGACGTAATCTGCTATTATTTATACACACTTCATCAATGTGGTTTTATGCTAATAAAAAAAAGGCTAACTGAATTTTCCTGTGTTTATTTTTAGGTGGGTGATCTATTTTTTATGATGATCTACGTCATTAAAAAGGCTTCGCGGCGAACGAATAATTGCATTTTAAGTGAGGAGGCGATTGTAATTTGCATTCTGCAAGTTGTCCGCCTAGGTTACGATTTTTATTTTTAAACCCGCCCATTGAAAATATGCAAATGTCGTTTCTTACCTGTTAAGACGGTTAATACTATTAAGGTTTTCATTTTAAATTGTTTTTCTTCAAACCAAAAACTTTAAAAAATTATTGTTGATATAACATTTTTTACTTCTCCTTTTGTGTCGTTCTAAAGAATCTAAAACAAAAAAGGTAAAGATAAGAATAGGATAAAACAGTTTTTTGTTCTTTAATTGTCTTAATTTTAACACGTGAAGTTTTTGTGTAAACCCACGCTTGAATGGATGGGCTTTACGCGATGGAAGTCTCTTAACGGCTTTTTTTTCGGAGTGCCGATGATTTATGCAAAACAATTCCTCCAATTCAATTAGCTGGAAAAGCTCCAGGTCTACTTTCAAAATAGTGGCCCCACACATACACTGTCAGTTGCGTGTTAAATATTTACCAACTCTTCGATATGTAAACGAATCTAGACGGATCTAGGTGTGGAAATAATCGTGAAACTTTTTTTAGATAAAAAAATTAAAACAAAATTTTGAAGTTAGGACCATCTGTTTGGATGCAATAAAAAGGTATTTAACACAACATAACGACCTCATAAAAAATCCTTAGGAAAAAATATCATTTTCAGAAAGTTTCTTTTTTGTTTCATTTTTATGAGTGTAATAATAAAATTTTTAGTTGAAGGTACATCGACCTCCTGTCTTATTCGTTTAACTTAAAATAAACTTCCACTTCAGATTTGTGTGGACTGGAAGAAAGATCAAAGTTTGAAATTGTACTTTTCATTGTTTCTCTTTAACTTTTGTTAGAGGGGAATCGACCGTTGTTGTCTAAATTGATTGAGATTTATTCCAATTGGGTCAATTTTAACCCGTACGTAAAAATCTAAACAGAAATTCGAGCTGCTTACGGCTTCTAAACAAACCAAAATCAAAGCCTTCAAACAAACGTCGCCTCGAAATGCTATCTTTAGACAAATAAACTTCTCTTAAAATACTGTACCAGTGCATTTGATTAAAACGATGATAGATTGAAATAAACATTTGATTAATTTAAAAATGGTTCGAACAGATCGTGAATAAAAGAATTCATTTCATTACATGTGGTGTTGAATTGTTTTATATTCTATGGATATGGTTATTGAGTTATGATTATAATTAATTTTGATGGTAAAAATTGATAAATTAAGAATTGGCAATTCTCTTAGGTTAAACGCAACTCAACCCGAGATCAACCGCCTTATTCCATGGTACTGGATCTTTTTGCTCCTAAACTACCAGAGCCAATAAAGCGCGAGATTCGATATCAACCCAACCCAAGAGCAACCCAATCCAATTTCAAAGAAACTCAACACGAGACCAACCGCCTTATTCCATCGTCTTGAATCTTTTTGCCCCTATATTACCAGACCAGATAAAGCTTAAAACTCGAGATCACGCCAACCCAATCAGAAAGCAATTCAACCCAAGAGCAACTCAACCCAAAAACAAGACAACCCACCCAATCTGAAAGCAATACAACCCGAGATTAATCGCCTTATTCCATGGTCTTGGATCTAGAAAAAGCCCGAGACCCGAGATCATCCCAACCAAAAGCAACACAAACCATCCCAACCCAACCTGAAAGCAATTCAACCCAAGAGCAACTTAATTCGAAGGCAACCCCGTCTGAAAGCAACCCACATTTTTATTATTGTTTGGAATTTGGGACAAAATTATACTTATAATACTCCACCTATAATAATAACCAAGATAATTGCACTTGCTGGTTTTACGATATTTTCAATTTTGGCCTCTAGGGGAAAAACAAAAGGCGATAGCGCTTTGAGGTATTCGACATTGGAATTTATTTAAAATAAAGAGATCGAGACGTGTAAACTACTTTTTTTCTAAGTCTTATCGAATTTGAACCACCCTGTACAGTCTATCTAAATGATCCTCTATGAGATCCAATATCAAGGAGCTTTAAGGCAAGGAGAAAATTATACAGAAACCTTTTCAATGCAAGACTGCTATTAAAAGAGTTCGTAAAATCATGGATAAGCTGCAGCTCAGATAAAATTATCTTAGTTACATAATTGCATTTAAAGAAAGGAAGATATCTTCATCTTATGATAGCAAATATAAGCTTTATTTAAAATTATTTTCCTTAAGAAAGTTGAAAATATGGCGGGATTATTGGAGGTCAGAGTGACTGAAGATAAATCCATGACGTTTGGAAGAGCTGGAACATCAAGAAATGAGGTGAGATAAATTGAAGATACCAATTTATAATAATGGACTGCCGGAACAACCTATAATTTTTTAGTGGATGCAATCTATCCAGGCAACGATCCAAAACGACACTTTCAATGTGTCTCTCAAACCTGTACAGTCTATCTAAATGATCCTCTATGAGATCCAATATCAAGGAGCTTTAAGGCAAAGAGAAAATTATACAGAAACCTTTTCAATGCAAGACTGCTATTAAAAGACTTCGTAAAATCATGGATAAGCTGCAGCTCAGATAAAATTATCTTAGTTACATTATTGCATCTATAGAAAGGAAGATATCTTCATCTTATGATGGCAAATATAAGGTTTATTTAAAATTGTTTTGATTAAGAAAGTTGAAAATATGGCGGATTATTGGAGGTCATGACGTTTGGAAGAGCTGGAACATCAAGAAATGAGGTGAGATAAATTGAAGATACCAATTTATAATAATGGACTGCCGGAACAACCTATAATTTTTTAGTGGTTGCAATCTATCCAGGCAACGATCCACAACGACACTTTCAATGTGTCTCTCAAACCTGTACAGTCTATCTAAATGATCCTCTATGAGATCCAATATCAAGGAGCTTTAAGGCAAGGAGAAAATTATACAGAAACCTTTTCAATGCAAGACTGCTATTAAAAGACTTCGTAAAATCATGGATAAGCTGCAGCTCAGATAAAATTATCTTAGTTACATTATTGCATCTATAGAAAGGAAGATATCTTCATCTTATGATAGCAAATAGTTGAAAATATGGTGGATGAACCTCACCTCACTTGAACATCAAGAAATGAGGTGAGATAAATTGAAGGAACCAATTTATAATAATGGACTGCCGGAACAACCTATAATTTTTAGAGATTAGGACTACGATCACGTATATCTCTTTCGCTGTATAAATCTATACTTCTACGTCTAATTAGCAATGGAGCTAACATCCAGGATATCTATCTACAATCAGCGCATACAATTTGTTTTGTCTAAGAGCATTAAATTTGAACACTTTTTTGAAAGTAACCATAACAGGATTGATCACAGTACAACTTAAAATTTTTAAACGTGATTCACAAGGTGTAAGAACAAATGATAATATTTATGAATCGAATGATATATTTTGCAACATTGTTATTCTAAAGAAGACAACATGTTACTGAAAAGTGTCCACGAAGCCACTTTTGAACAACCCAATCCAAATTCAATAGAATATTCCTCCTAGACAGTAAGTACAGTCTTAACGAACACTAGTAATTAGAAGCAAAAGCAACTAGTATATCATCACCAGTTGTATTGTCAACAAGTGTACAGTCCTTATTAGCAACAACAACACAATATTTATTACAAAACACGTCTGAATGTTGAATATACGTCGTCACATATTTATAACTTGGTCTATTACGGGGAATACCAGAATTTTATGATCACTTTTTTCTTTATCTCGTTGTGCTTCAACTTGAACACAGGATTTCGTTATTCAGTATTTATTTTGTGTTAACAGTGGTTGTTTAAATTAAAGTTTTTTTAATTCGATGGTGAAATTTCCAGTGTATTATTTGTAATGATGATAATTCCTTGCTACTAAAAAAGGCAATATTGTGTTATTAAATTGTGTTATTGTGTTTAATAAAATGCCTAAACAACAACTTCCGTAGAGACAAGCAATTTCCTTAGAAACTAAAATAAAAATGTTAGACTGTCTAAAGAAAGGCGAAGGTCCTACATCTGTTGGCAAAGCTTTTGGTTTAAACGAAGCGACTATAAGAACAATTAGAAAAAATGAGAATTCCATTCGACAATCCGTAATTTCTGGATCGAAAGTAAGTTCTTAGAGAAAACGGAAAAACACATGGTGTTTTGGATAGAAGATTTACAGTCAACAAGAATACCTATTGATGGGAAACATATAAAAGAAAAAGCACTTAAAATATATAACCAAGTTCAGGAATTGGAACCATCAACAAGTCTTCAGGCAACGAAGAAACTGGCATTTAATGCAAATGAAGGATGGCTGACAGGTTTTATAAAAAGACACGCATTTCACAATGTAAAAATAAAGGAAGAAGTAGCATCAGCAGACGAAAATGCTGCAAAAACCATTCCAGATAAACTAGCAAAAATCGTTGAAGAGGGTTATACTCCAGAACAAATATTTAATGCCGATGAAACGGGATTGTTTTGGAATAAAATGCTCGAAAGGACTTACATAGCAAAATCTGAAAAATCAGCTGGTGGTTTTAAAGCGGCCAAAGATCGAGTGACTTTCTTGTTATGAAGTAACGCATCTGGTGATAAAATGTGAAAGCCTTTGTTAATCAACAAATCTCTTATGCCACGAGCATTAAGAGGTAAGAACATTAAACAACTTCCAGTCCATTTCATGGCGAATAAAAAAGCATGGATGACGGCTGATCTGTTTACAAATTGGTTCAACAACTGCTTTGTTCCTGAAGTCCAGAAATATATGGAAGAAAAAGGTTTGAAGAAACAAATTTGACTGTTTTGGAAGCATGGAGAAAGTTTACGATTATGGATTGCATTACACTTGCTTCTGTTGCCATTAAACAATTACGCCTATCAACCTTAAATGCTTGTTGGAAAAAAATATTGCCAGCATGCGTCAAAAGTGGAAGTTTTGTAGTAGAAAAATCAGCTGTGTATTCTGAAATTATAACTCTATCAAATACAATTGGTGGCAACGGTTTTAACAACATTCAAACAGCTGATATTGATGAATTGATGCGAGAAAGCCCTTTGGATGAAGATGATTTGATCGAATTTATGACAATTTGTGAAAATAAAGAAATCGATAATGACAAGGTAGAAGATGAAGTTCAGCTATTAACAGCAAATTTGTTACAAGTATGGAACAACATTTTCTTACTCATGATCTTGACATGGAGCGTGCATTGAAATTTCAACGTAGTCTTAAGTTATGTGTAGCTGGATAGGAAGAATTATATAAGCATATTGAGAAACCAAAAAAAAGCAGCTAATAACCGACTTCATAACTACAAAAAAAACAACAGAGACCGTTAATAACAAACGAAATTCTTCTTTTGAATTAAATCCGACAGTTGTGCTAGACATATCCGACATATATATAAATATGTAATATACATTTTATTATAACTTTTTTTACACGTATCTACCGTGTAAAAAAAGAGTTGGGTTATCTGCAGGTAACGTTTTTGCAAAAATTGAGCAAGTCATGAAAATTGATACTAACTTCAATTAATATTTTGGCAAAACTTTTGCAAGGCAAATTAACAATAAATAAAGAAAGCAAATTACACTTTTACTGACATCTACACTTTAATTGATGATGGGTCCGCCTCCTTTAATTAATGCTATAAAGCCAATTCCAGATAAAGCGTTGCTGAGGCAGAAAGGATTAAGGCGAGACACTCATACTCACTTTCACTTTTAAATTTCCTCAATGAAAGTGATGCGGGAGCATACCTATGAGTACAAATATACTAGAAAGACTATGATTGAGGTAAAAGAAGCAACAAGAGTTATCTGCTAAAAACGTATTGATTAATTATCTATAGATTTCTTGAATGGGATTTGAAACAATTTTTTTTTGTGACGACGAAATAAAATCATTCCGAGACGAGATCCAAACAACATCTTGTTTATAACAGATACATCCGGCAGTTTAATTTGGGAATTTTACATTTTATGCGTCAACTTTGATGTCTAACAAATTAAGTTTATTGAATATTCATTGTCTAAAGCTTGTATTTTAACATAACGCTTTGATTTGTAAACAAGTTTGATTAATTCCTGTAACGGTAATATTAAAAGCTTCTGCTTCTAGATACAACCATTTACAACGTTTTTTTGTTTAAAAAACTGGATTGAAGAGCAAGTTAGATTCCGTTTTAATTTTGATGCATCATATTATGAATAAAAACATTGCTGTGAATGAAATTCTTTGAATAATATAAAATTTTATGTGTGTTATATGGAATGAAACACAAAATAGAACTCCATCGGTGCAGTTACCTTGACTTTGTGTGCAGACTGTGACGCCCACATTTAGAAAGATATATATCCGAACCGATTGTTTTGTTCTTTTCGTCTGCGTTAACCGCACTGGAAAACCGACTAAATCGAATCAATCGAACCATTATATCTTTGTTAATTCAATTGGAAATTGATAAATGGATAAAATAAAGCCAATAAAACTAACCATTATTTAATGAATGAATGAAGCGTCCTGTTTGTTCTATTCTTTTTGTTCTAGCTTTTAAATTCTTTGCAAAGAGATACCACACAAGATCGAAAACAGGTTTTGCAAACGATGCTTTAATGACGACGTTATGGTAACACTGTCTGTGCTATAATGGCCTCTAAATACTACGAGATGATTAGCTTCCAGTCTTTAAAGTATCACAAATAACAATTCTTTTTGTTTCAAAGAACGAATTTGAAATTTTCACATTACTCACTGCAATTTTATTACAGTGTTTAAAGTAACTGGTGCCAGAAAATTGGAAACACAATTTCAATCACGCCCAAACGCCAAAAAGAGGGGATTAGAAAACAAATTTAAGTGGAAAACAACTTCATGAAGTTGAAACATTTGTAGTGGGTATAAAGTTACTCTCTCTTACGTGACTCATTTGTAGCGCCGCGGATTTCTTGGATTACAAATTTAAAAAAAAATTGAAAGCCACGATGAGATGTTTACATTTTCCATTACCTCACTATTTATAAATAGTTAACATTTCTTTCAAATAAAACGAAATAAATGTGATAACCGCAAAATTATGAGAGAATGAGGTTTTAAGATAAAAAAGTTACTTAGATATATTTAACATTCTTGGAATATTTTTAAAATTCGTTCGTGTAACATCTAGATTTCGCGAGAACTTTCTGTTTCCCCCATGAATAAGCAAACAGTTAAAGTCATGTCAAGTAAATTGGTGAAGATACCGACTTCAGGATAACCACCATATACATATGCAAATCTGTTTTACGTCGAGGTATAAAGTTTCGAAACTGAAGCGTCTTATGTTTTGTTGTGTATACTGAAAGGAGTACTAAATGTCACAATTAGTTATTCTTGTGTGTGTTTACAAGATTAACACGTTACAAATAAAGTGAAAATCTTTTACGTTATAACAGAACCGGCAAATAAACTAAATCTAGATATTGGCCTAAGTACAACAATTCTTTAAAGTGCCAACGTGATACATAAGCAACACAAATAAAAAGACAATTGGCATAAATATACGCTTTCTATAAAATTACTCAAACGAATTGCAAAAGCCTCGAATAAATTGAAAACGAAAATTTTATGTGTTATTGTGAAAGTTGTTAAATGGATTAAATAAAAAAAAATAATACCTTGTGGTTTTCTAAATGTCGGGCCGCAAAACTTCAAAGAGACACTCGAAGAAGTTAAAAAAAGGATCGCTGAGACACCTGACTGTGAGTATAGTAAAAGAAAACCGCTTCAGTCAACGCGTTTTCAAGCACTGATTGGAACCGACTGCTGTGAGTCGATCTACATCCAGATTCGAACCAGACGTTGGTTGCTGCACACTATCCCCACTGAATCCATGAAGAAGCCAATTAAAAAGTATGCGATGAAAAAAATTTGCTTCATTTTTATTATTTTGTTTTTTTTTATGGTTGTAAACGGTACTAAAGTATAATAAAGGTGCACTTCAAGCTACCTACTGGCGAATTTTACCGATTTCTTGTTCGAGTTAATTTTACGCATGGATCGGTACCTTTATAAGATTCGTGATGGAATTTTTGTATAAAAGTTTCGGTAAAAGAAATGGTGTATGAAAATTTCATCAACAAATTTTGATTAATATTTTCACACATATACATTTTATCTTTTTTATAATATCATTATTTTATTATTATAATTTTTTTTGATTCGACTGAATTTCTAATAAAAATTTTAATACCTTTAAAGATTATAAATTATTCATCATCTCTTATCGAAATCGTTAGATTTCGATTTCTTATAGAACAGTTCGCAAATTTGTTCATTTATATACAACATTTTTTTTTAGTAAAAACCCGTGATATTGTTTCTTGTTGAGTCACCTTTTTAATGATAAAACTAGTATTTGAAAATCTCCTTTAGTTCTTAAGATAAACAATGAAAACAAATTGTATAAAAATATACAGAGTGTTTCTGTATAGTTTCCGATATTTCTGGTGGTTTTTATGACTTAATTGCAGTCATATAACGAACAAAGATGGGGTACCTGTATACAACCCCAAACTCTTAACGATTATTTAACGAAAATTTCAATAACATAATATTTAAAAACTTAAATATCATTACTTTGTGTGAAAATACAACAATTTATTTAAATCTATCTAAAAAGTACATTTGCTTAAATAATTTATGATTATTACTATAAAATGTATTATCTTTTCACACTAATTCTAAGATAATTATAAAAAATATGTTTTAATTTTTATATTATAAATTAATACTTGCTTTTTTTTGTAAAATCATTTAAGTATAAGTAAATTTATATTCTTTACTACATTTCTGTTTTATTTTGTTCAATTTAAAATAAAATAAAAAAGAAGTGCGTCCCTGGACCTAGTTCCCTAGGAGGACCTATCATAAATCATGTCCAGGTACTTTTTCCGGGTGATAATTACTGCCACTACTGTTTCTGAGGGTCATAAAAACCACCAGAAATATCGGAGACTATAAGTCGTGGCATAATTTTAATCACAAATGCTAGAGTAAAAATTTTTGGTCTAAACCCCTAAATTGCTAAGAAGAATGGTCCTTCAAAGTTAAGAAATTTTTAAATATTTTCAATATGGCAAAGCGCATATGGAATATGCCCAGAGCAGCAAAAAAAGGAAATAAACGAGACAGTACAAATAAATAACATCTCTGCAGATAGGTGGAAAAACTACTTCATGGACATGTATTCAAAAAGCAGAGACCAACCTAATAAGCGACATACACTGCGACGAGAAGATACAATAAACATAGACGAAGACATACAAATTACAGTTGGGGAAGGGTTGAGATATGGGGAGAGGAGGGACGACGGCGGTCGAAGGATACTGTGCGGAATGGAAAAGGAACAGAAATGCTGAGATGGGTGGAGGAGAACGGATGGGAGATACTGAATGGGAATAAAGAGGAAGGAGAGGAAGGGGAGTATACTTACATCGGGGCGAGGGGGACATCTGTGATTGATTATGTATTGGTGGATCAGGAAATGTGGGAGAGGGTGGAAAGGTTTAAAGTGGGAGAGTTATGCAGTAGAAAGAAAACAGAATTGAGGGGGAAGGAGGCGGCAGAGATTAGGGGGATAACAAGGGAAGGGGAGATCTGGAGGTATCTGAAAAAAGGAAAGAAGGGTAGGGAGACGATAATCAGCGAAATACACATGAGAGAATGGAAGAGTTACTTTATGAGATTATTGGGAGGGGATGAAACGAGGCTAACGGGGTTGGGAGGATATGAGGGAGATGGGGGAGAGGAGATAGCAGAAGAGGAGATGGAGGCGGTGCTTAGGAGATTGAAGAAGGGAAAGATACAAGGTATACACGAAGATACTGCTGGGAAGATTGGAGGAGGAGATGGAGTTGGGGGGAATTTTGCCGGATGGGCAGGCAGGCTTTCGGAAGGGAAGGGGAGCAATCGACAACGTGTATGTGTTGAAGCATTTGGCAGATAGAGAGCTGGATAAGAAGGGAGGGAAATTGTACGCCCTGTTTATAGATTTGAAGGCGGCTTTTGATAAGGTGGATAGGGGGAAGTTGTGGGAGGAGATGGGGAGGAGGGGGATAACGGAACACCTAATTGGGAGAGTGAAGGAAATATACATGGAGACGATGGCTAGGATAAAAGTGGGAGATAAGCTGAGCGACGTGTTCTGGACGACGAAGGGACTGAGGCAGGGATGTCCGCTGAGCCCAAGTCTGTTTGCACTGTATACGGCGGACCTGGAGGAAAGATTGGGGAAGGGGCAGATGGGAGGATTGGTGGTGGGAGGTAGAAAGGTGCATATGTTAGCATACGCGGATGACATCGTGGTCATGGCGGGAGAAGCGGTGGAGATGAAGGAGATGATAAAGACATTGGAAAGATATTTTAGGGGGAAGGGGCTGGAAGTAAATGTGGGGAAGACAAGGATGATGAAGTTTTGTAAGGGTGGGAGAAAAAGAACAGAAAACTAGAGATGGGAGGGAAAAGAGATCGAGGAGGTTAGGGAGTATACTTACTTGGGACATGTGTTTAGGGAGGACAACAGGGAGGGACAAGTATGGGGTTGGGGGAAGAGAGTCTTTGGAAGGAATGTGGCAACGAGGAAGATTATGTTTGAAGGTCTGGTTAGCAGTGTGATGATGTATGGGGCAGAGGTATGGGGATGGAGGGAGCAGGGACCGCTGGAGGACGTGCAAGCTAGATATTGGAGATGGCTGCTTGGGGTGGCGAGAGAAACACCGGGGTATATAGTGAGGGAAGAGGTAAAGGTGGATAAGGTCAGGGTGGAGGCGGGCAGGAGGGCAGTGAAATATGAAGAAAGAATAGAAGGGAGGCCAAGCTGCGGGATCCTGGGAGAGTGTTGGAGGGAAATTAGAGAGGGAAAGGTCAGATATGGGAAAGGACACAGAGACAACTATTATAGACGAGCGGGCTACTCGGTAACGGAGATAAATAGTAGACGAAGGGTGGGTAGGGAGATGTGGAGGGAGTTGAGAGGCAGGGACCGAGATGTGCAGAGACAGGAAAGAAGGACACAAATAAAAGAGGGAAGGTATAACGAAAGATACAGGGACATAATTACGGAGGGGCTGCCTAGATACTTGTTATTGGAAAGAGATGAGGAAGGGAAAAAGTTGATGGCTAGGTTCCGTTGTGGAAACGAGGAGAGAGCCAACAAATACTGGATGGCCGATGAGGAGAGGTGGTGTAGGCTGTGCAGGGAGGAATGGGAAACGTTAGAACACATGCAGAATGGGTGCAGTGAGTTGAGGGAGGAGGAGATGGACTGAAGGCAGATCTTAGGAGAGGGGGGAGAGGGGAAACGATGGATGAGAATGGTTGTGGGGGTGAGGAGACAAAGGGATGGGTGAGGGGATGATTGGGCCGAGGAGCCGAGGGCGTGGAAATGGAGGAAGAGGGTGGGGAGTGAAAGTAATATTTGAATAATGTAAAGAATTGTAAACAATTACTGTATACAATAAACTCTTAATAATAACAGTAGAAGAAGTGATGAGTGAAATGAAACATCTCAAAAATGACAAATCCCCAGGCCCGGACAATATCTCCAATGAATTGTTGAAAAAACGCAGGAGAAGAACTAGTAGAACAACTTACCAAAATAACAATAAGATAGGGTAAACGCACCAGTGTTTGACCTGTTAAGGATTTTTTAATGTCTGTGTTTGACCGAGCCATATTATTTATCTTGTAGATCCCTCTGCCTTTACATAAAATGATCAAAATATGATCATACGCATCTGATTCATTTAAAGTTACTTACCCTACTTATAAAATGTAACATCATGAAGTAATATTTGTTAAAAATTAAAAAGGAAAACAGTATTTCGCATTTAGTGTTTGACCACTTTGATTACATTACTTGACCAATAATATCTAGTCTTTGTCCTTAAAACCGTAAATGTTTGACCGATTCTTAATATAATATTCATTTTCATTATTTTTCCATACTATTTTGTTCAAAAAAAATGTTTATATTTTTTGACTCTTTAAGAACATCTTTTAAAACAGCAGCAAAATATTCTTGACTTAACTTTTCACCCAAATTTTGTGTTTTCCAATTGGGTTTTTGTAACAGGAAAGCCAATATCTGCTGAATAAAACAATCATTCAACCAGTAGTTTTTCTTCATCAGAATTTAAAAATGCCAGTGGGTCCATTTTCCTCTGCATTGGTGTTTTTCCTTTTACTTTATAAATAAGAGTTGACTTTGGTACATTAAACATCTTGACTGCTTTTTCATAAGATAAACTCCTACTTCTTGCATCGAGAGCCATTTGAAGATCTTCTTCGCTATATTTAAACTTAGGCTTCGCTGTCATATTGATACTGAAAAAAAGTTAACCTGATGCATATTTGCTAAATTTTCCATATAGATTTTCCATTTTTTGATAATTGACCACTATAAACCTTTTAACCTTTTAATTGTACAGATTGATTACTGCTTGAGTGTGTTCAATTACTTTTATTGTTATAAAAAAGGTTTAAAAAAATAGAACAGAACCAAACATTTACACTTATATTTATATTAGGCTTAAATATTTATAAAAATTTAAAGTCGGTTAAAAAGCTCAGTGTTTGACCTGTTCGTGTCCTATAAATGACCAAAAGAAGAATCATATTTAAACTGATTGTATCTCACTTTTAAAGTATAAAAGTTTTGGTCAAATACTAAACAACTTAAACGGAAATATACAAGTTTTAATAACAGGTATTACACATTTTTCCATTTTATTAATCACATATAAGTACTTGTGAGATTATAAAACAACCAATTCGTCTAGTATTTGACCGTTTGGTCAAACACTAATTTTTAATTAAATTTAGAAGACTAG